GGCCCAAGCTAGGCAGCCGGGCTGCCCAGGCTGGAAACCGGACCTGCCGCCAAGCCAAGCCAATCGGTTTTTAATGAATTCTTGTCACGTTGGGCGCCAAATGTAGATGTATCCAACCTTCCCATCAAACAATAAACACAGAACCAATGCAAAGAAGAAAGCCAAGAGGTCAGAGCCAAGAGCCAAAACCTTACCCTTCCTCCTGCAGTGGTCCTACCTCTCCGAACCAGAGCTACCCCTGTGTTAAAGTCTTTATATAGAGTTCCTGTCCTGCCTTCTCATTGGTTGTAAACCCAACCACATGACCGCCTCCTCACAGCCTGTCTGTATAGGCCTCCAGGTTTTCCATGATTGGTATTAAGATTAAAGGCATGTGTATCCAATAATGGCTGTATCCCTGAACACACAGAGACTTACCCAGCTCTGCCTACTAAGTGCTGGAATTACAAGCGTACGCTACCACTGCCCTGCTTTCCTATGGCTTGCTAATAGCTCTGACCCCCGGGCAACTTTATTTATTAACATACAAATAACATTTTAATACAAATAAAATATCACCATATGGTATACTGAGCATAGGTAACCTCAAAGCCCACCCCCACAGTGACACACTTCCTCCAACAAAGCCATACACACTACAACAAAGCCACACCTCCTAATAGTGCCACTCCCTATGAGATTATGGGAACTAATTACATTCAAACTACCACAATCACTAATTGAGAAATACCTTACAGCTGGATCTCATCAAGGCATTCCTTAACTGAGTTTCCTTTCTCTTATGACTCTAGCTTGTGACAAGTTGGCACACAAAACCAGCCAGTACAACTGACCCCTTGTCAACTTGATACCCAAACACATCACTATTAAGCCACAACCCTTCCTTTCTTATTCATCCTCAAGATCTCTCATTAAAATTATAATTTTTAAAGTCCCACAGTCTTTACACACTCAAAACACATTAAAAATTCAGTCTTTAAAATATCCAATCTCTTTTTTAAAAAGTTCAAGTCTTTCATCTGTGGGCTCCTTGAAAAATAAAAATTAGATTAAATAAATACTTTCTTCAAGAGGGAAGAACCAGGGCACCATCACAATCTGAACCAAGCAAAACCAAACTCCAACAGTATAAATAACTCGATGTCCAATGTCTGGGAGTCATTCACAATCTTCTGGACTCCTCCAAAGGGCTTGGGTCACTTCTTCAGTTTTGCCCTCTGCAACACACAGCTGTCTTCTAAGCTCCAGACGGCTCCACTCCATTGCTGCTACTGTTCTTAGTAGTCTTCCTATGGTACTGGCATCTCTAAAATTATGGGGTCCCTTGCTGCAACTGGGCTGCACTTCACCAATATCATCTCATAGGCTTTCTTCATGGTGCCAAGCCTCAACTTCTCTGCATGACCCCTTCAATCTTGGGCCTTCAACTGTCACTGAGGCTGCATCTTCACCAATGGCCTCTCCTGGCCTCTCACAGTGCCAAGCCTCAGCTGCTCTCCATGACCCCTTCATGCCTTCAAAACTAGTGCCACCTGGGTGACGCTTACACATTACCAAGTCCTGCTGCCAATACCAGGTACAACCATGGCCACCTCTGGAATGTAACTTCTGTTCTCTCAGGAAACACTTCCCAGAAGATTTCACCTCAGTGAAGCTGGTCTCTTCTCAACCACCACTACTTTATTAGCTCCAGTCAACCAGCAGCAATTGTCCCAGTAACATAAGGTTTCACTTTAGCAGTTCTGGTCTCTTGTTAATCACAGCTGATTCTTCAGCCCCAGCTAACCAGAACCATAGGATCTTAATTCAAAATAGCAAACATCCCTTGTCTTTCATCTTCCCTCTAAAATTTTGCAAGCCAGGCCTCCATCCTCTGCTCTCAACATTCTTTTTTTTTTTTTGGTTTTTCGAGACAGGGTTTCTCTGTGTAGCTTTGCGCCTTTCCTGGAACTCACTTGGTAGTCCAGGCTGGCCTCGAACTCACAGAGATCCGCCTGGCTCTGCCTCCCGAGTGCTGGGATTAAAGGCGTGCGCCACCACCGCCCGGCTTTGCTCTCAACATTCTTATCTTCCAAGCTCCCACAGAACATCCTACTGAGGTCTCAACACTCAATGGCTTTTCTAGCCCAAGTTCCAAAGTCCTTCCACAATCCTCCCAAAAACATGGTCAGGTCTGTCACAGCAAAACCCCACTTCTGGTACCAATTTCTGTCTTAGTTAGGGTTTCTATTACTTCGAAAAAACATTATGACCAAAAGAGCAAATTGGTGAGGAAAGGGTTTATTTGGCTTACATTCTTACATTGCTGTTCATCATCGAAGGAAGTCAGAACAGGAACTCAAGCAGGGCAGGAAGCTGAAGGTAGAAGCTGATACAGAAGCCATGGAGGGTGCTGCTTACTGACTTGCTCATAGAATCCAGGCCCACCAGGCCCAGGGATGGTACCACCCACCATGGGCTGGGCCCTCCCCCATTGATCACTAATTGAGAAAATGCCTTACAGCTGGATCTCATGGAGGCATTTCCTCAACTGAGACTCATTCCTCTCTGATGACTGTAGCTGGGTCACATTGACACACAAGCCAGTATAGACCTAATCATTAAGAAACCACTTTTTAAATGATTCATTTAGAATACAGGGATTTGTGTGGTTTCTGTGACTTACTGTACCACCTAGAGAAGTTACTTAACCTCCCTGAGCTTGGTTTTATTTATTGAGAGAATGCTCACAGTGCCTGCCCTGCTTACTTCCCTGGCTTATTGAGAGGGTGTTGGAAGTTGATGCTCCATAAGTTGGGCAGCAATCATGTTCAAAATAGTTGCAATTGGTGTAGGAAGGATAAGTGTTAGGATGGTCTATCACTCGGGGTTATTGGAGGTCATTGCTGGCAATGGAAATTATGTCCTCCCAGTATCCAATTCCACCCCAAATAAGTTTCCTTTGTTGCTGATCTGCAAGGGGAGAATGCTGTCCTCAGTCTCCTCCTCCTTGTAGCTTTGCAGGAGTATCTGGGTGGTGCTGAAAATGAACCAAATTCGATTTGGGAAAAGAATTTTTACTGAAACTTCATGTAGGCTTGAATTCTTGACACAAGTCTATACAGGAACATATCTAGCCCATGATGTCATTTTAAAAGACAAGTGTTGTTTGATTATCTTTCTCAAAGAACTGTTAGTTCATAGCAGAAAACTGGAAGATGGGCAGGGAGGCCTAGCTGAGCAGTGGTGTCCCAGCAGTCCTGATCCACTGGCCCTAATCCACTCCACAGGTTGCTTGGCAGTTTGTAGTTGCTGTAGGGGCTGGACTCTCTTCTTTAGGTGTGCAACTTTGACCTCTGCAGAACAGCATCCTTCAACCTTACCCTGAGCCCAACAGCAGAGCCTGTGACCTTCATGACTCTATGTCTCTCTCCTAGTCTCCAGTGATGGGTGATACATGAAGACTTGCCTAAGGTCGCAAGTCAACGAAGAGGCGCTTGTCCTCCAGGAAGGGCATGTGTCCTGCATGACGGACAGGGCTCCAGCCAGCGTAGAGTCGATCCCCTCACAGGAGAGCTAGTAAGAGGCATGGGCTGTAGTATGAAGTGATGGGGTTTAGAGTTTAAGGGTGTCATGAGAACCTAGCAGACAGGTTGGAGCACAGCAGACAAGAGGAGAAAGTCTAGAACAAGTGTAGGTGAGGGCGAGGTACAAAATCTGCAGTTTTTTTAAACCTGAAAAGAAATGCTACTTGTGTAACAAGTGACAGAGTCCAGTTTGGAACATTACCAGGGGATTACACCAAGTATATTTTAGGGATAATCAGTGAGAGTCCTCAACCTTGGTTCTTCCCTGGCTTTGAGAATCCTGGGTCCCGCTCTGTCCCCAAGGACTTGGGCACCAAGGACCTATTGTCAATCAGCCCTGTCTTAGTGAATCATGGATCGCCAATGCAATTGTTGACATGGCCAGGGATGGTCTATACTGTATGTAGAGTTGGGAGAAGTTAGGGTAAAAATAATGATGTAGGAGAAATGAAGTGAGGGAAGACTGACTCTCTGAGACACGAGAACAATGCACTGATTTGTGAGAATGTGTGTGTGTGTGTGTGTGTGTGTGTGTGTGTGTGTGTGTATGTAACTTAAAGTCTGGTCCACTTGAAGCTTCACTAGTTTCAGAAAAATAAATGGAATAAAACTGTACCCAAGGATGCTAGGAGGTGTATGCATTTAGTATCATGTACATTTCATATCACTTTGAGTTTGGTGATTCGAAGTCTACCCCTGAATAAAGGTGATAAAGTGCTGACTGGAACATGAAAATGTTCTAGTCAACATTTATAATATCATGTACAAGAGAACTTTTCTTCCTAATCTGAGGGAAAAGAAAACATTTCCATAGATAAGATGTACTGGAGGACACTGTGCCATGGAGACTAAAAATCCAGCCCAAACAGGTCCTTCAGGCAGGCTGTTAGACTTCCTAGGCAGCAAAATGGGTTGCATCCAAATGGAATGCTGCAAAGCTGAAAGGATGCTGAGGTGAAGTCCTGGTCACAGAGGGAGCAGAGACGCTCTGTGTGAAACAAGAAATGAGGAAAGTGGGGAAGAGAGCTGCAGGCTCTGGCAGAGGGTGCTGCTGGGCCTCAGGAGGTAGGGAGGTGTTGAGGGCTCCCCCGCCCCCGCCCTCACAAGTCCTCTATGACTCTCTCCTGCTCTGTGATGCAGACCTGGGCCTGCACTGAGGCCCACTCAGCCTCAGATCTCAGCTGGCAGCTGTGTGAGCCACACTATGGAGAAGGTCATCTCCTTTCTGCACAGCACGACGGAACCATGCTTGGGCTTCAGCTCCGTGCTCTCGGACACTGACCCACTGCACCTTCCTGAGTGCAGGGGCTGCTGCTCCTGTGCCTGTTGTACCTGATACTGACTTCATTTTATCACTGTGGAAACGTCAAGACCTCAGAAAGGTGAGGCAGTACGGTGAGCCCCCGTACGGAGAGATTCTTTATTGATGTGTCCCATTTCTTTTGGTTTTTTGTTTGTTTTGTTTTGTTTGTTTTTTGAGACAGGGTTTCTCTTTGTAGTTTTGGTGCCTTTCCTGGATCTCCTTCTGTAGACCAGGCTGGCCTTGAACTCACAGAGATCCACCTGCCTCTGCCTCCCGAGTGCTGGGATTAAAGGAGTGCGCCGCCGCCACCACCGCCCAGCCTTGATGTGTCCCATTTCTAGACTCACATTATCAGATGAATTTAAAGAGTTTGGCTGTCCTAGAGAGATGTCTGAAAGGGACACTGAGGAGAGGAAAGAACACTGCTGCCCTAGGGTATGAGGTCTGGTGGGGCACGGATCCAAGGAGGACCAGGGTTTTCATCTGGACCCACAACCTACCTCTCTGGGTGTAATTGAAAGTTCCATGAGCAAGGGCTGAGCACTGAGTCTGGGGCTCATTGACTTTGTTCCAGAGGGTGGGTTCTCTGAAAAGCAGTGTCTCCTGGCCTTTAGTCTGTCCTGTTCCCGCCTCTCATTGCCCTTCACCAGGCCTTTCCTAAGCTGGACATCAGGAGAGGCCTCTAAGCAAAACCTGGAGCCTGAGCTTTGTCCCCCAAACATAGGGCCCTCAGAGGTGCTTAGCTGTGCCTGGAGCAGAGGACTGGGAGCTGAGAGCATGGAATGTGGACCTCACAAACCCCTTTAGTTTCCCAAAGAAAGAACAATTGAAAACGACTGCCTTTCAAAGTTAAAAAGTGGGAAGAAACTGTTATTTGAAGTCAGTATTCTTGGATAATAGATGTCCAAGAGAAACACGTTAATGCTACCTGCATTCTTTTATTCCTAGTATCAGAGCAGAACCAAGAAAAGACAAAAAAGGGGTGACATTCAATGTCAAGGTTCTTCCTGTTCGACCCGAGCCCCGTAAGGTGGCCCCCTCCTGTTCCTCCATGAGATCCCAGGCTCAGGATCTGAAGATGTTTGTAAGACACAGTTCCTCTCAAGAAAGAGCTCTCAGAGAAAATGCTTACAGATTCACAATTGAGCACTCCTCAGAGCCCCGGATCTTGGAATGTGGTAGTTTGAATGAGATGAGCCCACAGTCTCAGCATTTGAACTCTTGGTCCCTACTTGGTGGTGGTCTTTGGGAGGCTTAGGGAGTGTGGCCTTGCTGGGGGGAAGTATGTCACTGGGAACAGGCTATGAGAGCTCACAGACTCACGACCTTTCAGTTTGCTTCCTCTGCTTCCTGCTAGGGGCTTCAGATGTGAGTCACACTGTCGCTGCCGCCAGGATTCCTGCCACAGTGGGCTCTTAACCCTCTGGAGCTGTAAGCCCAAATGCACCCTTCTGTAAGCTGCTTTGGTCATGGTGTTCTATCATGGCAACAGAAAAGTAACAAATACAGAAATTGGTGTGATGGACCTGGGCACTGGGTCCTTCTCCTTTCTGGCCAAGAGAAGTTTAAGAAGGTCTGTTGGCTGCTTGGAGTCATGACTTCTGTCTCCTGACATCATGTAAAGTGCTTTCTTTGTTCCTGGGTGCTCAAATGTCCTGTGTTTCTCATAAAAGGACTCCTGTAGAATCCTTGTGTCTCAGTCTTCATTTCTGTATTAGTTACTTTTACTCTTGCCACGATGAAATGCCCTGACTAAAGCTACTTGAAGGAAGAGTTTATTTTGGCTTATAGTTCAAGGGCACACTCTATCCTGGCGGGGAAACCATGGTGGCAGGAGCTTGAGATGACTTACTGCATTTGTGTTGTTTTTATCTAAGTTGTTCTATTTACCAATAAGGTCTCAGGAGTCAGATTTTGAGGTGAAAACCTGCTAGATCAGAGAAGATGAGAAGCAACCAGCTGACCTTCCTTTTTGGCCAGAGATCCTGCAAGAGAGCTTCTCTCCACACTAAAAAGGCCTTCGAATCTCTAAGTCCCTCCCTTCTCATTCCTGTGGGTCTCTCTATCCACCTTCCCAGGTCCTTCGCACTCTCTATGGCCAATTTCTGTCAGTCTCTGGCTCCGCCCCCTGTCCAAGGTTAATTTTATCAACACGGTTTCGGAGTTTCACAGTGCGATCAAATATCCTACAACACATCTGCAGTCGGGACGTGGTGATACATGAGGGGAGTCGGCTCACTCTCTCCTCTGTGTGCGGTCCAGGACCCCAGCCCGTCAACCAGTGCTGCCATCTAGTGCTGCCATCTAGTGCTGGTCTTCCGGTGTCATCGACTAATCTAGAAAGTGCCTCACAGACATTGGCAGAGATTCGTTGTAAGGATTGTAAATCCCACCAAATTGACAATTGAGATTTACAATCACAATTGCATATAACCACTGTTTTTGTTTTCCAGATTCGAGAACTTTCCAGACAGAAACAGAAGGGAAGAAGTTGTCTGTTCTAGAAGGTAATTTAAGTATTTTTCTTTATCCTTGTTCCTTTTGTAACGTGGCTGTGCACCCTGGGAGCTCAGGGCAGCTGGTCCCAGTCTTGGGAGGGAGAGTCACTGGGAAGCACACTCGAGTGGAAACTTTGCAGAAACCTGGTCTCTTTTAGGTCAGAGATGTGACAGACCATGGCAGGCATCAGGTGATCCCATCTGAGATCAGTCACCATGGCCTCCTGTCCCTTGTGTTGGCCCTTACAGCAGCTCGTGCCTTGCTCTTGAAGGCCCATGAGTGGGTATCGTGATAGCAGCTACTTGCAGTAACTACGGTGTCCTGCTGAGGCCAACCACCTGCTGTGCCTGGCCGCAGGGCACATATACTGCCCCATCTCCTTAGCTCTTTTGGCTGTACTCAACCTTCCTGGCCCTCTTGGAACCCCAGTGCTAGCCTCTCTGCCTGAGTCTTTTCCCACTTTCTCCTCCATCCTGTCACCTGACCAGGCACCTCCTTGGGGAACCTGCTTCCATCCTCACTGCTAGGTAGCTCTCTGACACGAGAACCCGCTCCTCCCTTGGATTCGAAATTTCTAGTGAGCATTCCCTATGCCAGCTGTACACCCTCCCTCCCTGAAAATGCTTCCCACTCCAAAGATGACCCTGCTATCGAACTAGACCATTTGTCTCCAGTAGGGAGCTCATCCCTTATTCCTGTTCAAAGGCAGCAGCTCCCCAGTCTCCTCACCAGAACACTATGTGAGATTGCCACACTGTGGCTCTTAGCACAGAAAGCTTTCCTGTGTTGAGGATTGTGTAGTACCTTGCAAACAGAAACAGGCCCTATTTCTTACTTGTTCTTCACATTCAGGAACGCGAAGAGACAAATGAAAAAGACATTGACTTTCCAGACTCTGGAGAAGACTAAAAAGGAAGATGACACATTTTCAGATCTCAAGGGGTTAGAATATCACCTCCCAGCCCCATGGAAGTTGCTGGGTTCTACTGTCATTGATCAGGACACCCCAGTCCCCAAAACTGGCTTAAATCTCAAAGGGAAACCAGGGCAGTTTGGAATTTCTGAACAGCTCCTGTGTGTGAAGGTTCTAGAGGGAGACCTGGGGCAGAAGCACAGCCAGCTCTTCTGGGGTCTCCCCTCTCTGCACAGCGAGTCCATCGTGGCCACTCTCCTGGTGCCCCTGAACAGCTACTCACTAGAGCCTGAATTTGTGCTATTCAACGGAGTCTGTAAAGCTGCCACAGCTCCCATATTGGACCATGGATCTCCAGCCCTTCCACAGCCCCGTACCTTGCCCCTCACCTTTGTACATCCTCAGCCTTTTCCTAACATAGAGCCCCAGCCGCCAACCCTCCCTTTCGCTCAGGTCCACCCTCAGGCCCACATGCAGTCTCCACTCCCTCCAGTGCAGTTGTCACCTCTGCCCTGTGGAAGCACTCTCCAGATACCACAGAGCAGGACTGTCCCTGGGGTCTTCGGTGGAAACGAACAGCTGCAAAGCCACTTGCTGCAGAATCATCAAGCTGGTTTGTGGGATTTGGTCCCTGGGTATCAGCCATATGAAACGGCCTTTGGTCTTCTCATTCCCGGCTTTCCATTGGTCAGCCAGCCTTCGCAGGACTATGCCTCCATCCCCAGCACTGGTCATTTTCATTTCAGCAGTGAACTTCAGGACAACCTGGGGCCCTATGGGCCAAACAACCCAACTCCACTCTGGCACTACCAGCCCTGCAGTAGGACAGGAGTACTGGAAGCGATGGGCCCTCAGTACAAACCAACAGGAACACCTCCCCACAGCTGCAAACGTGCTCACCCTCAGCACTCCGTACATTGGGGCCAGAGCTCCAGCGACCTCAGGACTGAAGAACCGAGTCACTCGGAAAGTTTCTGTGAGAGCTTCTCAATGAAGCCTCAGCTAAGAAAGGATGTAGCCAAGAATCTCGGCCAAATCCTAGGGAAATGCCCATTAGACAACCCACAGATGATCTCGGGATGTTATGTACTGAACAGTCTGAGGGTTGTACCCGAGACAGAGGAGAAATGGGTATGTCACTCAAGAATTGACTTGAAAAAGGAGCGACTCAGCATCTCAAGGAAGAGCTTGGACCAAAGACAAGCAAGAAGCGCCCTTCGATTACATGTGAGCAGCAAGCTCTGGCAGATCACTATGGGTCGGATCCCAACCAAGGTGTGCTGTTCATGGCTTGCTGAAGATGTGCCTCTCTGGAACTCACCACTGGGAAATACTTACTGCAATACTGCTATTCCCAAAATACCTTTCCTTGATCACAAGACGCAAAAGATGCTGGAAGCCCATCTTATAAGGTTCCGAGTGAGTCAGAAGTGGGGCCTCCCCCTCAAAGTTATCGAATCCATAAAATTCTATATGTTAAGAGAAGCTAAAACATGGCCCTTCCCTCAGTCTGATGTCCCCTCGTCTTCAAACAGTATTTCTGGGATGGATTTGAAAAGTAACTTCTCCCACCCCCTCAGAGGAAGCTCTAGCCTTTTTCATAGAGACAAGATAGAAGCGGCAAACTCAGCCTCCATCACGGTTCATCGCCTTCCCCTCACTGTCTCACATGCAGACAGGGGAGGAGAGGGGTCCCCGAGACAGTCACTGTCTAGCACTGGTTATGAGGTTCCAGAGACAGTCCAGACAACTGAGAGTGCAGATGGATACAGCGGTGTGGACAGCATGAGTCTGAATGGTGCTGAACTACAGAGCAGACCTAGTCAGGAGCAGCCCAGCCAGGAACAAGTGGCTGCGTCTGAGCCAGAGAATGAGGTGACAAGTTCTTCTTCTCATCTAGAAACCACTGGAGGCAAACAGAGGTTGGAAAAGAACTTAAAGCACGTGCTGACACCCAGCATACTCAGGGAGATATTCAGGGCCCCGGAGGTGAGGGTTCTTCTGTCAGGATCTGATGCTAGTGGCGAGTTGGGAAGCTCCACAGAGAAAAATAAAGACAGCAATAAAACAACCTCTGTTCTGATTGCAGACCACAGCCCATCAAGGATATCGATTCCTGAAGACCTGACAGTGTGGGACTTTAAGAAGCAGCTGTTCACAGAGCTGAAGTTTAAGTTGGAGAATCAGGCACAGAGCCAGACCGAAGGCTATGAAAGTGATGTGTCCTTTACCTCAGACAGTCTGACTGGCTACTTGCCATCTTCATCCAACAGTGTGTCCAGTGGGGATGCCTCCGTTTTCAAGGACTTCCATACCCACTTATGTAACGCAGGCGTCAGTTTGGATCCACGGCAGGAGCCCGGGTTCTTCAAACGTATCTTAAGGAATTTAACACCAGCTGAGAAAATACTGGCCTTATCAGTACCCAGAAAAGAAAGTGGTAGAAGTGAGACCCCAGGATTAGGGACATCCAAAACAGGAAAGAGCCAGCCTATTAAAGGAAAATCAGACAAGAAGCCACATCCTCCTGAAAGTTACTTCAGGAAAAAGATAGGACAATTTTTTCAGTTGCTTTATTCCAGCAAAGACAGCACAAGACACAGGTCTGAGAAAGACAGGGCTCTCTTTAGGAGCTGTGGGCCTCCCGAAGCCCATGAGCTCATGGCGTCCCTTGGGAAACTCCTGGAGGATAAGCTGTTGTGTGGGCAGAAATCTGAGTTCTTGGAGTGGAGCCGTAGGAAGAGCCTACAGGCTCAGCCCAAGCCCACCAAGGGGCAGCCTTCCAACCGTGGGGCTACCTATGCCCAACATGGAGAAGCAAAGAGTAATTGCTACTGTCACCAGACAGCTGTCTCTCCTGGTTTAAGTCGTGTGCTAAGTCCTGGACAGAGACATCCTCGTGTATCTTTTGAGCAGCGGCCACAATTCTGGGATTACTCGCCTACCCCTGAGTCCAGGGATCCCTAGTCCCATTCAAACCTGAAGGTGTGTCCTATGCCTTCCCGGCCCTCACATCTGCTAAAGGGAGTGTTCTGAGACCCGACTCTTCTACAGAAACAGAACATGTTTCTGTTTATGTGAAGGAAATGTTTCTGCAATGGAATCAGTCTTTGTTTAAAAAAAATAAAATATTTTCAGAGCAATACATCCTGTGATGAGAATAATCTATTTAGCAAAACCAAGAATAAATGTTTCTTCTGAGAGTTTTGTGGGCCTTCTTGCCACATGCCTAGTGAGAGGGTTCTATTAAAATGAATGTCTAGTCCCTTGTCGGGTGCTTGACAATAGCCTTCCCAGCTTAACTCTGGAGCCTGTGATTTCACTGTTTTATGAAACATTTTTTCCTTTGAGACTTTCATACATGTACATAATGGAATATATCTATTCCACCATCCTCCCCACAATGTCTCCCCCAACACACATTTCCAACTTCATGTCTTTTATATGTAACTTACTTGGTCCAGTTAGTGCTGCCCACAAATGCGTAAGAGTAAACATCCACTGGGAAACCTACATCTTCAAAGAAGGATGACTTAGTGGCTAAAAGTACCTGCTGTCCATTTAGAGGACCTGAGTTTGGTTCCCATAGTAACATCAGGTAGCTTGTAACCACATGTAACTCCAGCTTCAGGGGAAATGATATCTTTTGGCCTCTGTGGGCACCCACACACGTGGCAGACATGGAGACACACATACATGTAAATAATATCTTAAAAGACAGCTCTTCCTCCCCAGCAATTATCCACGGCCAGTAGCTCCTCGGTAAGAGGTGGGGCCTGGATGTTGTCCGCCCCATCCTTGTGCTTGTGGCTGGCTTGACCTTGTGTAGGCTTTGTGCAGGTGACCTGTGTGCCATGAGTACGTGGCGGCGATGTTCGGAGCGCTCCTCCCCGCGGCCTCTTCCCCGGTGTTACCTGAGCCTTGGGGCTGGGTTGATACAGCCCATATGGGGTGAGCACTTGTCCCTTGTTCTCAGCACTTCGCCTGGTTCTGTGTGTCCACACTGACTGCTGTCCACTGCAGAAAGAGGCTTCTCTGACAAGATTGAGAACAGCCCAGGTTCACAGGGAGAAGCATAAGGCTTGGGAAATGTCCCCACAAGTTATTGGTCAGGGCTGCTCCAGAGGTCTCCGGAAACCACACAGGCTGTTACCGTTCCTGCGGTTGTCCACCATAACTATATGCCAGGACCCTATTGCTAAAGACACCACACAACAGGCTACAGGCAGGACCTAGAGAAATCAGTCTCAAACCACTTGGGGAACTTCCAGCTGGCTCTTTCATGATGCTGGAGGGTGCTATGCAAGCTGCTGGGGGAGAGAACAAACCAATGATCTTACCGAGAGCTGGGTTGTGCATGCTGCAATGTGAACCTGCCAGGCAAGACGTGACTACTAGTGCACATCTGACTGGATTTTGAGACATGATCCACAGAAGGGAATTTCATGTTTGGTACTATAATGCTCTTCAAAAGCCCATGTCTAGAGGAATACTGTTTTTATTCTGCTAAATGATCATCTGGGAGACTGCCTTTTAAACATCCATGCTTGTACCCATTTTGTGTTTTTAACACAGAGACTTATTCTGAAATTTTCCAGACATTTTCTTTTTTAAAAAAGTGTTATTACTATTATTCTCAGGTAGGGTCTCACTATATGGCTCCAGTTGGACTGGAATGGAACTTGCCTTTTTTTTTTTTTTTTGGTTTTTCGAGACAGGGTTTCTCTGTGTAGCTTTGCGCCTTTCCTGGGACTCACTTGGTAGCCCAGGTTGGCCTCGAACTCACAGAGATCCGCCTGGCTCTGCCTCCCGAGTTCTGGGATTAAAGGCGTGCGCCACCACCGCCCGGCTTGGAACTTGCCTTTTTAAAATTAAGAAATTTTTATTTATGTGTGTGCATTTATGTGTGGGTGCCCACAGAGGCCAGAGGAGGGCATAAGACTCACTTGCGATGGAGATGTAGGTGGTTATGATGTGCTGGGAACCTCTGAAAGTGGCAGCACTCACTCAGAGTTTTTGAGATCTCTCCAGATGTTTTCAGGTGAAGAAAACACTACACAATCCAGCCATGGAACTACCGGTCCCCTTGCACCCTCATTATCCTGCACCACACAGAGCTTCAGAGCTGGGCACCTTCTGGCACAGTCAAGACAGAGATGTCCCCTGCAGTCCCAGGAAGTATGGAGCCAAGGCTCTGAGGTTGGTGATGGAGAGAAAGCTTCTCTTCTGATCTCATCCTCATGAGGATTGAAAGTCACCTACTCACAGAGCCATCTCTCTGTCCCTCACGAAGGGTGTAGTGAGGACCCTGCTCCCCACTTTTATCTGACACTAGTGGAAAGGAAAACATTCTGCAAGCATCCCTCTCTATCTACTCTTCACAGACACAGAAAAGATAGAACTTGCAGCTGTAGAGGGGCCCAGGGCTAAGATTTTCTGAAAAAGAGGATTACTTCTGTTCTTAAAGAATACTGACTTGAATGTTTCACAAAAAAGTAGTGTGAGGTGTGTTTTCATAGAGCTACAAATCACTGTGTGAGGTGTGTTTCTGTAGACCTGCATAGTCATCCTGTGAGGTGTGTTTCCAGAGCTGTAAGTCACCGTGTGAGATGTGTGTCTGTAGATCTGCACAGTCATTATGTGAGGTGTGTGTCTGTAGATCTGCACAGTCACCGTGTGAGGTGTGTGTCTGTAGATCTGCACAGTCACCGTGTGAGGTGTGTGTCTGTAGATCTGCACAGTCACCGTGTGAGGTGGGTGTCTGTAGATCTGCACAGTCACCGTGTGAGGTGTGTGTCTGTAGATCTGCACAGTCACCGTGTGAGGTGGGTGTCTGTAGATCTGCACAGTCATTGTGTGAGGTGTGTGTCTGTAGATCTACACAGTCGCTGTGTGAGGTGTGTGTCCAAAGTGTCGTATAGTCACTGTGTGAAGTGTGTGTCTGTAGATTGTGCTGCTTTGGGGCCAGCTCAGAGCCAGGAACTAGCTTTTATGGTGGCATGTTGCTCTCTCTGGCAATGACACTATACTTATTCTTAACTTGAAAATGAGATATCTTTACTCGTATGGGCACTGTGAGAGAAAGGAAGAGCTTTTCCCACCCCAGAAAACTCTCTAGGATGCTGGCTTCTTGACATTAGCAGAACAAAAGGCTCCACAGTAATCACCTGAGAGGTGGCCAGCATGGCCACACAGTATTTGAGAATAAAAGAAACTCTTTTGGGGAGGAATCAAAACTCAGAATTGGGAGGAGGAAAAGAAAACAATGGGAGGGGCCACTCCTTCATCCTCACAACCCCTTCCCACCCAGCAGTCCTTGACCCACTGGAGGACAAAATGGACTTTCTAGCACAGAATTACATTGCTTCACAACAGCAGCATGAGGGGCATCTTTCAGCATTCTTCACAAGACCCTGAGGGGTGCTGCCAGACACTGTATTAGTCTCTTTGAGAATGAATCTCTTTCTACCTTCCTTAGAGCTAATATGCTGCTCATCCAAAGCCACAATGATTCTATAATATATTAATCACCTACTGGTGTTATGGGTACCTTGAATTTTAGTGGTTAAGAACATAACTTGTTGCCTCAGTCTCTGTGACTCAAGAGTCCAGGCCACTTCTACCTGCATTCTCTACCTTGGGGTCTTTGATACTGCTGAAATTGGAAGGCTTGACTGGGGAACAACCCTTTCCGTGTTTGATATGTAACTGCTGGCAGGTTCAGTTCCTCAAGGCCATTTGGCTGAGGCTGTTGATCACAGTTTGGTTCTTAGTTGGAGCCCTCCTTCCGGCTTGCAGGTGGGCATACCCTATTGGTAGCTTGCTTCATCAAAGCCAGAGGAGGGGGGATTTCTGCTCGGAAGATAGAAATGCCAGTGATGTGCAGAAACACTGGAACTACAAAGTACCAACGTGTTACACAAGGAAGTACAGAAACGCCAACGTGTTACACAGGGAAGTACAGAAACACCAATCTGTTACACAGGGAAGTACAGAAACACCAATCTGTTACACAGGGAAGTACAGAAACACCAACGTGCTACACAGGGAAGTACAGAAACTCCAACATGTTACACAGGGAAGTACAAAAACGCCAACGTTTTACACACTGGAAGTGTGGGTGATGTGCCAACCTTTCCCTCCATTGTACTGACTAGAAGCAAATCAGTAAGATTCATCCGACTCATGAGGAAATGAGATGACATATGCTTGTGGATGCCAGAGACAGGATGGTTGTAGCTAGAGTTTTCCTGCCTGGCCCACAGTCAGGACAAATCTCTCTCACCTGCCAGTCCCACAGCCATCAGACCCAACCAAGTAACACACAGAGACTTATATTACTTATAAACTGTATGGCCGTGGCAGGCTTCTTGCTATCTAGTTCTTATATCTTAAAATTAACTCATTTCTATTAATCTGTAAGTTGCCACGTGGCTTGTGGCTTGTGGCTTAACATCTTCTCATGGCAGAGGCTGGCAGCGTCTCCCTGCCTCAGCCTTCCACTTCCCAGAATTCTCCTCTCTCCTTGTCCTGCCTATACTTCCTGCCTGGCTCCTGGCCAATCAGCATTTTATTTATACAGAGTGATATCCACAGCACTTCCCCTTTTCTTTTTTTTTCAAAAAGGAATGTTTTAACTTTCACAAAGTAAAATTACATATAACAAAACAATTATCAGGCAAGAAGTACAGTTACACTATCTAGTCTATTTATAATATCTAGTCTATTTGAATTTGGCAAAATTAAAGAAGATATTCTATCTATCCTATATTTATGAGTCTAAAATTTCATATCTAACTTATCTAAATTATAACTACCTAGTCTTCAACTACATCAAAGACCTCAGAAGGATATAATATTACCTGAGAAACAGGAAAAGGACACAAGCAACTTTCAGGAGCCTTGCAAGAGTAGACAGAGACAGCTGGCAGCCTGGACAGTCATCTAAAGTTCCTCTGTAAAGTTGGGGCATCTGTCTTCAGCCCACAGGCCTAGAGTCATGTAGAATGTCTGGCAGTTTCCTCTGCGAAGCAAGAACCTGAAGGACCATTTTGCCAAGCAAAGTTCAGTGGTCACCTTCCTATGGGTCCTATATGTACAGTCAATCAAGCAGTCCAGGCAAGAACAGTTTCTTACCCAAATGGC